CAACGTATAACGTGAGGAATGATAATGGGGAACTGTTTTCTTCTTCTTCGTTTTCTTTCTTCTTCTTTTCTTCTTATTCTTTTCTTTTTCTCTTCTTCTTCTTTTCTTCTTCTTTTCTTTTTCTTTTCTTTTTCTTTTCTTTTTCTTTTCTTCTTCTTTTCTTCTTCTTTTCTTCTTCTTTTCTTCTTCTTTTCTTCTTCTTTTCTTCTTCTTTTCTTCTTCTTTTCTTTTTCTTTTCTTTTTCTTTTCCTTCTTCTTTTCTTCTTTTCTTCTTCTTTTCTTCTTCTTTTCCTTTTCTTCTTCTTTTCTTTTTCTTTTCTTCTTCTTTTCTTCTTCTTTTCTTTTTCTTTTCTTTTTCTTTTCTTCTTCTTTTCTTCTTCTTTTCTTTTTCTTTTTCTTTTCTTCTTCTTTTATTCTTCTTTTCTTTTCTTTTTCTTTTTCTTTTCTTTTCTTTTTCTTTTTTTTCTTTTCTTTTGCTTTTCTTCTTCTTTTCTTTTCTTCTTCTTTTCTTTTTTTTTCTTGTTCTTGTTCTTGTTCTTTTTCTTCTTCTTCTACTCCTTCTCCTCCTCCTTCTTTTTCTTTTTCTTTTTCTTTTTCTTTTTCTTTTTCTTTTTCTTTTTCTTTTTCTTTTTCTTTTTCTTTTTCTTTTTCTTTTTCTTTTTCTTGTTCTTGTTCTTGTTCTTGTTCTTGTTCTTGTTCTTTTTCATTTTCTTTTTCTTTTTCTTTTTCTTTTTCTTTTTCTTCTTCTTCTGCTTCTCCTTCTCCTTCTCCTTCTTCTTTTTCTCCCTCTTCTTCTTCTTTATCAATTAATGCATTTATTCTAAGAGAAGCAAATATACTGCAATTGTAAAGACGCATTAATATTAGGATCATAAAATATTGGCGAGACCAAGTTGTAAGACTTTCCTTTTCCTTTCCCTTTTCCTTTTCTTTTTCTTTATCTTCTTCTTTTTCTTTATCTTCTTTTCTTCGTTAATATTAGTATTATAAGATATTGGCGAGACCGAGCTGTAAGACGAGACACATGATCAAATAACTGAGCAAAGAAAACGGTGAGGAGGAAACAAATTGCCCACAGGAAATTATACTTTTTTTTTTTTTTTTAGTACTATCTTGGGGCAGAGTAAATGTACATTGTAAGGTGATCTGTGGATTATGTAAATACAAGTCTAATAGGTTTATATGGAGGAAAAAATTACATACACACACATCTTGTCCGAGATTAGAGTAGGTTGTTATATTGTATTTACGTTTCCTTTTGAATTATATTTCCTGTGAGAAGAACGACTATCATCACTTTGACAATCTTGTCTGTGGTCTTAGCAAGAACGCCTCTGCAGGAAACCAACCCTCGTAATGAAGATATTGCAATAATGATGTACTGTTGCCACATTTCCCGGTTCTCGTGTGCAAGCTCAGGCATTTTGGCAAACAATCTCCAAGCTTGGAATATTTGGCAACTCCAGTGATCTCTTCCCTTGGCAATTCTGAAATGTCTCTGTACTTTCAGTGTTGTTTCGTACAAGTGACAAAATCCACGCGTTTCAGATGATATGATGTGGGTTTTTTTTTCCCTCTTTGACGTAGTGTTGAGGCTGTGTGAATCACTTTGAATGATGTGGCGCGTGGTAGGGGTGTCTGACCCCCACCTCCCCCCCCGCACCTGTGTTTTTATTTTATTTGGCTTCGTTGTTTGTATAATTATCTAGCTGTTTGTTTCTCTCTCTTTTTTTTCGTTCTATACCTATTTTTTTCTCCCTTTCTCTGTCTATTTTTTTTCTTCCCTTTCTCTATCTATCTATATTTTTCTATCCTTCCTTTCTCCTTCTTTCTTTCTCTTCCTATTTTCTCTCTCTTTCTCCTTTCTTTCTCTTCCCATTTCCTTCTCATATTTATGTTTTATCTACCTACTTACATCTCTCTTTCTTTCTCCCTCTATCCATTTCTTTCTTCCCTTCTGTATCTATTTCTCTCTCTCTCCTCCATTCCCTATTTTATTTTTACCTTGATAGTTCCCACGTGTCTCTGAGCGTAGATGCCAAACGAGTCGTATATTTGTTTATTTATTCATCTATTTATGTCTTTATCTACCTCTTTCTGTCTCTCTTTCTCTGTCTATTTCTTTTTCTATTTCTTTTTTTTCATCTTCATGAATATATCTGTCTACCTTATCCCTTCATTTCTCTCCTTCGTTATTTTTCTCTCTCTTCCTTTCTTCCCTCCTTTATCCATCTACCTATTCCCTGATATATCTGTCTATCTATCCTATTTCCCTTTTTCTCTCTTTCTTTCTCTCTTCTATTTTTACCGCGAGTACTATGGCCGCCGTGACGTATTCTGTTCATTCCTTCGTTTATTTACGTATTTATCCTCCTACTTCCGTTTCTCTTTCTCTGTCTGTTTCCCTTCTTTCTCTTGTTCTTTCTTTGACTCTTTCTTTCTGTATCTTCTTTCACTCTTTCCATCTTTCTCTGTCTTTTTTATTTCCCTCTCTCCACCT